GTGTGTGTGTGTGTGTGTGTGTGTGTGTGTGTGTGTGTAGTACCGTCGGAAAAGATGTCACCATTTAACGATCCAGGGTTACTTAGTCGCCAAACATCGAATCCTATCTTATTGTAAGGGTAGCACTCGAAAAAATGCTGTTTGATTTTTACGCCGACAGCCGCACTTAGGCTGCCGACTAGGTTGACCGTCGTAAGCGTCGACGTCTACCATTGTCCTGAATAACGCGCAATGGTTGAAAACGCCTGCATACTTTCACTGACAATTTCGGAACACAGCAAAAGTGACCTGCTTTCCAGATCTCATCCCTCTTACTTCGCCCCTTAGGCCTGACTGATCGTAGTAGGACATAATCGTTAACTTGCTGTAAACCAGTCGGAATAAAGCATCCTATGGTTAGTGCAAAAGTATGTATATGGTTATTTGGGCCGTAAGCGCTGTTTTAGGCGAAAAGCAAGAAGATTGTCCTGTCTGGGCATCAAAACGTAGGCTGCCTTTTCCAAAAAATATATTTCTCTAAATCACTTTAAGTCAAGCAAGCCTGAGAAGACGACGGAAAAATCGAGGATGCGGACTCGAGAGGTTCGAGATAAAAACTAATGGGTTTATCACGGACAAAAATATAAAGGCTTAGAAAATAAAGTGGAAAAAGCATACTAATTAAGTATCCATTTTTAAGGGGTTGATTTTTGTCCGAAGCCGGCACTCTGGTGTGACTGTAATATATCTTATATTATGGTGCACGATGACCAATATTACAACCCAGTCTGAGTAATGCCGTTCGAAATAAATATCCAGTCCCTGAAGCCTTTTATGATCCTCCTTCCGCAATAGAAAACACCACTGCAGAGTTGAGTCGGTTTAACGACAAGGTAACCGATAACTGTGCTTCTGGTCTACAAGACCTGTATCTATACTTTCGCCCAGTGACTTCATTGATCCCGTCCTCAACGCGAGGTGCTTATCTCGAAACCTGACTCAACAGACGCCGGCAAACATAGATTTTGAACGTCCGGTAAGTGGTCTTCGTCGCCGCTGAAGGGAAAGAGTTGAAGTCTTCAAGCACAATGCGTAGAAAAGCACAACTTCTGACATAATTGAAACTAGTCAGACTAGACATGGTAGCAATCATAATGGACATGGATAATTTGACAGTTTATTGATACCCGTTGATAAACGTTCACCGACCGCTGACGGAGCTCCCTTCTTACGCTCTGCCTTGGGTCCAATTTCACGGGCACTGACCGCAGCCACAGCGGCTAGTAGTATAGGCAGATAGTGTTGCCGGAAAATACAGAGGAGGATGGAACAGCCAATTCCGGCTCATTTGCCCTCATCAGCTAGACATGCCTAACTGCAAATGGTGCGCCACCCAAGGCTCGAACTCACGGCCTTTTTAGAGCAGAGTCTCACGCTTAAACCATTGAGGCACACTTTCGTTGTCTTGCGTGTAACTGGCTGAAAAATGCTAATAAGCCAGAAAGGGCCATTCCACTCTCCCTGGTCTTGGTCGGCAATGCCATCTACCTAGACGGTTTATATTTGAAGTGGTGCATGAATGAGAGAGGATGACGCAAAAGGAGTAAAAGGCTGAGCAAATCAAGTTGATCGGAAGAACAGTAAGAAGTCGGAGACGAGAAAAACAGAAAGTAATCATCATCAAACCTTCAGATCCGCGTTGACGAGGTCAGCAAACTGGCGTCGGAATTGGCCGGGGTTGCCTTTGAGTACAAGATTTTTTTCGCGGCCGGCAGAAATCTGCTGGAGTTGCGCGAGGGCCGCCTCACACTCGGAGTCATCCAATAGGGCAACTTTCTCAGAGTTGAAACATGCAAGACTGGCGTTGCTTCCGGATATCCAATGGCGTGCCTGGGGAGAATGGTGCAATAGCGAACAGGTAACAGTCATGGTAGTCGGTAGTTAAACTGACTAAAAATTACGATGACGGCAGGCTATTGGACAGTTTTTTTAGTGAATAAACTATACTGGATGTGCCTTTCATACACCCAAACACAACCACTGGTAGGCCTAGACACCGGACAGCCCATTCAACCTTTCCAATATGGACAGATAATAACGGGAGTAGCGGTGCCTTTTAGGTGGATGAGGGTAGGATAAGCAGCGCTTATATAGCACCATCCTTGTTCAGTTCTACCGTAAATTCTAGTCATGCCTTTCACATTGCCTAGCATAAACGTTTCTAGAGTTCTACAATGTTACCGTGGAGTCTATCGAACTATCAAGCAGTGAAAAGCAGTAAATATATATAACAAATCAAACGTCATCCTAACACTTGAAGAGTACTAAGAGGTATTTTGACTGATTGCCGACAAGAATAGCGATTCAGTCAGGCGAAGGTCTCCGCGGTCTGCGGACCGTGATTACCCCGCTAGCGATCTTATC